GGAGAAGGAGAAGGAGAAGGAGAAGGAGAAGGAGAAGGAGGAGAAGGAGAAGGAGAAGAAGGCGGCAGAAATAAAAATGGGCCAGGGAGATAGCTCAGTAGAATAAGCACTTGCCTAGCAAGAGCAAAAGTATGAGTTTATTCCCCGGTTACACACACACACACACACACACACACACACACACAGAATAGAAAGACTCACTATGAGTAACAGAATCACTGCTATTTGAGAATGAAGTCTTTTCATGAATCTTTTTTTCATGCATCTTTAAACAAAGAACCTATCCAAGAACACATGCTTTTGCCTCCTTTTGAGGATTTCAAGGAAATGTGACATTGCACTGTTGTTAAACAGATTTGTTGCTTCCACTGTCACAGCCTTATTTGGGTGGTGCTTTAAAATTTTGCAGTTTCCCACGTCTTACACATCTCCCTAATTTCATTTGAAATGAGCGATTCCTCCAACTTTTTTTCTACCTCCACTGCAGATCGCATTCCCCCTTAACATCTTGTAATTGGGAGACAATCACCCATAATCTCTGAGCAAGTGAGAAAGATACCTTGGCTAATATGACAGCACACGACACTTGGCACCAGACACTATTCATATCACAAGGGAAAACTTGTTGATAAAGTAAAAATTTATTAGAAATGATTATTTGTCTTGCAGAATACTCAAGACTGTAATGCTTTTATTTTAATCCGTAATTATGTCAGAATACATACAGATATCTTCTCAGAATATAGAAAACACAAAATTGCATGCTCTGAAAAGTTGTTTGAAAACAATCAAACCCTATTCAAACACACATATATGATTTTTTCACATATGCATTACAATAGCATAAAATCATTAAAAGCTCTTGTTACAACAAAAGAAAAACTGACAATACACACCAAATTTTCAAATAGAAACTAATGGGAAGATGACAATTAGCACAAATTATACCACAATTATTCAAAACAAAGGTAACAAAAAATAACCTATAAAAACACTGTGTCTATTGGAATACTGTAGCAGCAGATAACAGCAAAATAAACCCCCCACAAGAGATCAAGTATGAAGGAACAAGGAAGCCTGTGACCAACATCCTAGACTCTAGTCTAGACTCAAAAGATGTCAGTGCAGTCTGAATTTTGCTTTCAGGTTATATACTTTTTAGGCACCCATACCCACCACATTTCCACATTCAAAGGAAGTTTGCAAAATTGCCACACAACTGTTATAAAGTTCACATTCTCCATAACACCTGCTGATCACAGCAGATTTAATGTTTACCAAACTTCCTAAACTGTTCTGTTAGTTCCTTTTTTATGGCCTTTTTTTCAGTGGGTTTATGGTTAACTAGAGGAGAGGGGGTGAGAGTGAGTTTATTTACAGTTTAAGTGAATGTAAGTGATTTTTGTTAAAATGGTGTTACAAAAAGGAAATTGGGTCTCTCCCAATCAATAGAACAAATACAGTTAAAGTCACCTGTGGGTCTAACCTATTTTAAAATAAATAATAAATTAAGACAATATTAAACTCCCATACTACTGCTCACAAGAACCCAAAGAATTATGTGAGCACAATATTTATCTTCAATTGGGAACTTACATATATTTAAGGATCTAATTTAAGAGTTTACTGAATTTATAATTATTTCATGTGGTTGTATATTTTCTAGAGAAACTGCAATCAGTTTTTTAAATCTTTATTTGGTACAACGTCTTGCTTTGAGGCTCAGACTCATAGTGATCCTCCTTTTTCAGGCTCCCCAGCACTAGGATTACAGGTATGTACCACCATGTCCAGTTTCAGTGGCCAGCACAGTGCACCCAGGGTTCTGGGGGTGGCATGGCATGTGGTACGAGGATCAAACTCTTGTGCTTGCCAGGCAAGTGCTTAAACCACTGAGCTATCTTGCCAGCCCAACATTATGTTTTTACTTGACTTATATAGGTTTTTCACTATGTGAGAAATTTTCAGAGTTTTAAACCAATTAGTTATAAATGACAGTGTACATTCACAGGGATTTAATCCAATATGCACTGATATATGTTGGACAACTCAAGACTTGTAAACAACTCTTATATTCATTCTTTTCTCATAGCATTTTTATTTATAATATAAATAACACCAAAAGTTACAGGTATTTCCACAAAATATACATTGACACAAGTTTCTCCACTATGCAAGATCATATAAAAAAAGACTTCTCACATTTTGTGAGATTACTTATGCTGAATTCACTGACAGTTTCTTTGTGTTCTGAGATGGGAATCATAAATTTCTTACCATATCTACTTGGGATTTCCTTTGGTGTGCTTCTTAATATATGCCAAGTCAAAAAGAGTAACAGTAATTTCCTACATTTCATTAAAGACATATGGCTTTGCTCCCATGTGAATTATTTTAGGTAGCAGAATACACTGAGATAAATAAAACATTTCCCACATTGCTCACCTATGTTCAGATTCTGGTTTATTATGAATTTTATCATGTATGTAATATCAATGATAGCAATGTATACTGAAATATTTTTACAATGTTTATAATAAAAAGTCTTCCTTCTGAGTGTTTTCAAGTTAATGCAGGGCATCTTATATGTTCACAACCAATTTCTTGCTTTTTAAATGTCTACAATGGTTACTGCATTGCTTAGGGTAATTTGATTGCTACATATTGATTGCTACAATGTTTGCTATACATTATTCAATGCAATTGTTTCATATAATTGATGACATTAGAATGTAAAGAATGTAACCCAACAATGACTATATAATTTCTCAGGGCCAGGGAGATAGCTCAGAAGCATAAAAGCCTGCCTGGTAAGTGTAAGGTTTGAATTCAATCTCTGGTGCCCCCCGCCCAAAAAAAAATATTTCTAGTGTAGATGGTCAGGTATTTCCTAATTACTATGTGTTCAAAACTTTTCCATATCCTTTCAGATATACTATCCAAGAATTGTGAGTTATTTCATGATTTTGACAGTTACTCTGGGTGGGGAAATCTTTATCACATAAGTTTCATACATAGGGTTTCTCTGTCGTGTGAGTTTTTTCATGACTTTTACAACTATCTCTTCTGATGAATGCTTTCCCACAATGCTTACACACATATGGTTTCTCTCCAGTGTGAATTCTTACATGTACTTGAAAATCACTGCGTCTGCAGAAAGCTTTCCCACATTGATCACATGTATAGGGTTTCTCCCCAGTATGAATTCTTTCATGAATTTGACAATAACTCTGTGTAGTGAAAGCTTTCCCGCAATGTTTACATGTGTAAGGTTTCTCTCCAGTATGAATTCTTTCGTGTATTTTACGATGACTGTATGCACTAAATGATTTCCCACATTGCTTACATACATAGGGCTTCTCACCAGAGTGAATCCTTTCATGTGTTTTACATTGACTGTATGTGCCAAAAGCTTTCCCACATTGTGTACAAACATAAGGTTTCTCTCCAGTGTGAATTCTTTCATGTCTTTTACAGTTGCCATGTATGCTGAAAGATTTTCCACAGTGTTTACACACATAGGGTTTCTCCCCAGTGTGTTTTCTTTCATGTATCTGACAATTACTACGTGTGATAAATCCTTTCCCACACTGCTTACATACATAAGGTTTTTCTCCAGTGTGAGTTTTTTCATGAACTTGACAAGTTACCTGTGTAATAAATGATTTCCCACATTGCTTACATACATAGGGTTTTTCCCCAGTGTGAATTCTTTCATGATTTTGACAATTAGATTGTGTGCTGAATGCTTTTCCACATTGTTTACATTTATAGCATTTCTCCTTACTGTGAATTCTTTCATGATTTTGACAACTCGATTGTGTGCTGAAGGCTTTCCCACAATGCACACATACATAGGGCTTTTCTCCACTGTGAATGCTTTCATGATTTTGACAAATAAATTGTGTGCTAAAAGCTTTTCCACAGTGCTTACATACGTAATATTTTCCTTCAGTGTGAGTCTTTTCATGTCTTTCACAATTATCTTTTGTGATGAATGCTTTCTCACATTGCTTGCATACATAGGGTTTCTCTCCAGTGTGAGTTCTTACATGTACTAGAAAATGAATGTGTCTCCTAAAACGTTTCCTGCATTGATCACATACATAGGGTTTCTCCCCAGTGTGAGTTCTTTCATGAATTTGACAACTGAATTGTGTGACAAAAGCTTTCCCACATTGCTTACATACATAGGGTTTCTCCCCAGAGTGAATTTTTTCATGATTTTCACAATTAAATTTTGTGCGAAATGCTTTCCCACATTGCTTACATATGTAGGATTTCACTCCAGAATGAGTCCTTTCATGTCTTTTGTAATCAGTCTGTCTACTGAAAGCCTTCCCACATTGCTTGCACATGTAACACTTCTCTCCAGTTTCTCCTCTTTCAAGGTTACAAAATGAAGAGTTATTAGTTAGGGATTTTTCATTGTACTTACACACAGAGTGTTTTTCTCCAGTGTGAACTCTTTCATGTTTCTGAACATCATGATGAGAATTAAAACCTGTTGTACTCTGTATACATATATGTGTATCCATTCCACTGTGAGGTCTTTTTTGGGTCTGAACACAGTTCAGTGTACTAAATGCTTTCATATCTTGCTTATATTCAAAGGACTTCTCTTCTATGTTAGTTCCTTCAGTGTACTCAGAATAGGACTTTCCACACTCCTTATATTCATAGGCTTTCTCTCCAGTAGTTGTCTTAGCATGTTTCTGAAAGGACTGTAATTCAGTGCAGACTTCCCTATGTTTGCTACAGTTAGATGGCCTTTTCTGAAATCCCTGACACTCACAAGTTTTAAGTTCAATGTTAGCTATGCTGGGCATATTTGCTGATGAGTAACCAATCAGGGACTTTCCACAGGCAAGGAATTCACTTAAGTTTGTACTGATTCCTTTTATATATACATTACCATCTGGAGACCAAAAAACCATTTCTTCATATTGATACCGTAATTCACATACATGCCATTTTTCTATCTTCTTACCTCTGCAAAAGAAACAAATATGAAAATTACATTTGAACATGTTTATTAATGATTAACACAGAGTTGATGTGCATACTGTAAGAATATCTGATCTTGATTTTACTGTATATTTTGGATGATGACCTAGAAACTACTTTTACCAAAACAGTAGTACTTATTTTAATGTTTATATTTGACATATTTGAAATATATAACACTTTCTTCTTCGATTCTATACTCCATAAAAAATCTTTACCTATTTCCTGTTGTCTTTCTGCCTTTTCCTTCTCTGTTATTTCCTTATTTTATGCTTTAACTTATATATTGGGATTTTCATACAAAATATATAACATGTAATACTAAAAGTTCTATGTCTTATTTATTTAAATTAATATTATAGGGGCTGGGGAGATGGCTCAGTGGAATAAGCGCTTCCCTGGCAAGCACAAGGGCCTGAGTTCAATCCCCGGTTCCGCAAAAAATAAATAAATTAATTAGTTAATTAATTAAGATTATAGGGCTGGGGAGATATCTTGACAGTCTAAGTCCCTGCCTGGCAAGCACAAGGACCCAGGTTCAATTCCCCAGTACCACATGTCATGCTAACCCTGGGCTGCATAGCAAGACTCTGTACCAAATAAATAAAGTTCTAAAAACAAATTAATTAATATTATATTACTATTAATAACATAGGGCCGGTGAGATAGCAGACTAAGTGCCTGCTTTGGCAAGCACAGGGACCAGGTTTCAATCCCAAGTTTGTGTGCCATACTGGCCCCGCCCCGGGGCACACTGAGTCAGTGACTGAGTCCAAGCCCGAGTGTGGTGGTGCACACTTGTAAATCCAGTACAGGGGAAGTTGAAAACAGGAGAATCACTACAAGTCTGAGCTGCGTAGTGAGACCCTGTACCAAATACATAAATTAAAAAAAATTAATAATATCCATCTATTCTTTTGTAAAGTAACATTTTATTATTCTTTCTGGCCAAATACTATTCAATTTCATACACACACTACATTGTTTTCAGTGCTGGAGATTGAATCCAGAGAATTAGCACTGAGATAGATCCCTAGATTATATAATTTCACTTTGAGAGAATCTCATCAATCATTTAAGTTGCCTGGGCTGAGCATGAATGAATGATTCTTATTAGTACCTCAGTTTCCCAGAGTGCTAACATTGGAAGCACACACCATCATACCCAGACCATCCACTATTTCCTTAATATACACATTTGTGTATAGACTTCTAGGGTTTCTCCAGATCATAGCTGTACAAACGTGTGTGTGGGTATCACTATAAAATGGCTACTTAATTTTGTGCATAATGTACCCTGGAGAAATATGCATGATAAAATAAAATTTATATTTTTACATTTTTAAGAAAACTAAACATACATTTCCACAGCTGTTATACTAAAACATCATCAATACCAACAACACAGCAAGGTACTTTCTAATATTTTGAAACCTGAATTGACTAATTAGAGGACTATTTAAAAACAGCTAATATCATAACACGGTATTCTTTTGGACTTTGAATACTTCCACAGTGTTAACAATTTGCAAATACTAAAAGTGTATGTATACTGCATTTTAAAACATAGCATTCGTTTTAGTTGTTTCATATGAAAGTGATCTTTAAAATGTACTGACACATACATATAATTAAGATACTCTGAATATGACTCCCAGTCTGAACACAAAATTTGTTTCATACATACCTTTAATCTTTTTTTTTTTTTTTTTTTGTGGTACCAGGGATCAAACTCAGGACCTTGTGCTTGTCAGGCAGGCACTTATGTCACTAAGCTGTCTTCCAGCTACAATTTAATCTACTGCTAAACTAAATATTATACACTTTTGCAACTTTATTGTATAAATAATTTACTTATTCTGATACATTACATGATGTCTCTTGTGTTATAATGCTAGTTTTCCCTAAGTCTCACATATTGGAATATTTTGAATGTTCAATTTTTGGGTTACAGATACTCACTCTGTGGGTGTCTGTGAAGCAATTTTGTGAGATTCCAAAAATATCAACCTAGAGGGGGCCGGGAGATTGCTCAGTGGAATAAGCACTTCCCTGGCAAGTGCAAGGGCCTGAGTTCAATCCCCGGTTCCGCCAAAAAAAAAAAAGTCAACCTAGCTAAGGCTTACTTTTAATAATTCTACTCACACCTTGACACTTGAACATTTTTATAGGACTGTAAATTACCTTAGGTTAATCCTGCAACATCTGCATTCATCTTCAATTTTCTGTTCATCGCAGTTTCTTTCTAAAGTGTAGAAGCAGAAATGTAATAATGAATTACTAGGTTACATAAAAAATTAGTAATTTTTTTTTCTTTTTACATATTTGTTGCAGGGTCTACAGGTCTCACTACATAGATTGGACTCAGTGATTCTCCTGTTTTCAGTCCCCCAAGTGCTGGGATTACAGACCTGCACCACCACACCCAGTCTCCATTGCTGTCTCAGCACGCTCCACAGACAGGGGAGCTGGCACAGCATGCCAGAGATCGAACCTGGGCCACTGAGCTCTGCCTAAGCAAGTGCTTTAGTCTGCTGAGCTATCTGGTCAGCCCTTAGATTTCTCGTACAATGTGTTCATGGCTGGAAGATTCATTAAAATGTTTCTACTTTCCAGTGAAAGGAACTGCACTGATGCACAACAACCAACAATGCCCTCTGATGTCATAAATGAAACAATGGTTATTCCTTACCTACAGCAGACACATTCCTAAAGGTTTCCCACATCACATCTCTGTAGAGCTTCTTCTGGGAAGGATCCAGCAAAACCCACTCCTCCCTGGTGAAGATCACAGCCACATCCTCAAAGGCCACTGCCTCCTAAATCAGACAGAGATGTCCAAAAAGCAGAATGAATTACTCAGCAACATGAAGCATCTCAGGTCTACTCATAAAAGCTGAAATGAGACTGAGTCCTCAAAACATTTATTTTTTGTCTTGCTCAACAATCACTTATTCTACATCAGCATAGATGTCTCATATAGGAATTTTCATGCTAGGGCAGAATTCATGGGCAAAACAATAGCAGAATGGAAACACTGGTTCTTCTTGTTAATCTTGGTTCATTTCTGCATTGTTTCTAAAGCATGGTTTGTATAAGGAACCTACAAGATCAACATACAAATGAAAAAACTATGATAGGTAAAAAATATCAAATGAGGGCCGGTCAAATAGCTCAGCAGACTAAAGTACCTGCTTAGGAAGAGCACAGGGCCTGGGTTCAATCCCTTCCATGATGTGCCATGCTGTGCTATGCCAGCCCTGCCCCCAGGGCACGCTGAGATGGCACTGTGGAGTGTGCCTGTGATCCCAGCATTTGGGAGGCTGAACACAGGAGAATAACTAGAAGTCCAATCTATATAATAGTGAGACCCTGAAGACTCTGTACTAAATACGTAAAAAATAAACTAAAGGCCAAGCAATGGCCATGACTCATCTACATGACTGATACTGACAAAGGATCTACAATCTGAGGTACAGGATCTCAGGATAAATCCTGAGGGGATTTGACTGACCTTGTCAGACCCAAAAGCTACAACTCTTGTTGCACAGGTCTTGCTTTACCTTGGTCTTAACCATCCAGGAGAAAACTATAAAAACGAAGTATAAGAAGTAAAGTCATGCTGTTATGTTGAGCTGTAGGGGACTCAGGTCAACAATTTCTGACACTGCCAGTCAAGAGGAAGACCCAATACTATTATGGACTACTGGACTCTTAAAATATTTTGCTGAGTTAACACACCTATAATATTCAAATGACAGAACTAAACAAAAAAGGGGATATATAAATGAATGTCCATTTTGTATCTGTGTATTCAAAACAGTTAGGATAGATATACAGTTACATTCTCTTAATGAATAGAGGGATTTGTTCTAATAGTGTTTGTAAATAGGATATCATGTCTGCATCTTGTACAGCAAATAACCACTAAGAAGACAATATACAATGTGTTAATTACTGAAACTGTCCTACCAAATTGGTTTGAAACTGTCTCATTACTATTTGTTTCTCAATAAGATTATGAAAATAAATAAATAAATAAGTAAATAAATAATAAAAAATAAAAATAATTAATTTTTCTGACAGGTGATTGATCTCTTACAACAAAAGAAAGAAATAAAAGAATTAGGGCCAGGAATATAGCTAAGTGGCAGAGTGCCTACCCAATAAGTGTAAGGACATTTGATTCCTGATTTAAAAAAAAAAAAAACAGGGCTGGAGAGAGGGCTCAGTAAAATAAGCACTTTCCTGGCAAGCGCAAGGGCCTGAATTCAACCCCTGGTTCCATAAAAAAAAAAAAAAAGTTAAGAATTAAGAATTTCTATTACTTTGTTTAATAAAATTTGTATCATTTCTAATGTTTTCTTACCTTTTTTTTTTTTTTACCATTTTGTATTCTTTAAAAAATAAGGAAGTTAAATTATAATTATTTATAGGTATCATAATGCTCTACATAGAAGGTCCAAAAAATTCTAAATAAAAGATTTCTAGATTTAATAACCAGATTTAGTAGCATTGCTGGATACAAAGTTAACACTCAAAAATCAGTAGCATTCCTGTACACAAATAAACAGAGGAATCAGAGAAACATCTTCCATAAGAGGATTGAAGAAAATGAAATACTTAGGACTCAATCTAATAAAGGAACTAAAAAAATCTCTACATTGAGAACTATAGTACTCTGAAAAAAGAGATTGAAGAAATATCAGAAAATGGGAAAGATATCCCTTGCTCATGAGTTGGAAGAACCAACAGTGCAAAAGGCCATACTCTCAAAACTGCTATAGATTTCATGCAATCCCTATCAAAATACCATTAGCATACTACCCAGAATTAGAGAAAACATTCCTAAAAGCCAAGTTGGAGCCCTAACAGACCTACAATAGCAAAACAATTATGGGCAACAAAGGCCAGGCAGGAGGCATCATGATCCCTGTTATGTACAGAGCTACTGTGCTGAAAACAGTATGGTGTTGGCAAAAAAAAGCAGACCTGTGGATCAATGGGACAAATTACAATATGTGGAAACAACTACAAACTTACTCAGTGGCCTTCTATTTGACGAATAGGACAAACACCTTCACTGGAAGATAAACTTTTAAAAAAACAAATGGTACTGGAAAAGCCAGTTGTCACATGCCAAAGATTAAAACTTAGATTCATGTCTATTACCGTGCACAAACTAAAATCAAAATGGATCAAAGATCTAAATATTAAAACAGACCATCTCTACTGGAAGACTGAATAGGTAGAACACTTGAAAACACAGGTGTAGGCAAAGAACAAAACCCTGAATGCACAGGAAACACTACAAAGAAATCAATAATTCGTATCTCATCTCAATATTAAAAAGAAAAAAAAAAAGCTTTTGAACAGCAAAAGAAATCCCCAACAGAGCCAAATGACAACCCACAGTGAAAAACAAAACAAAACAAAAAAATTAGCCAGCTGCTTCTCAGATGGACTATTATCTAGAAGATATAAAGTACTTTAAAACATATCAGATCCCCCAAACCCAATCCAAAAATGGGCATCTGAAATAGATGCTTCACAGAAGAATTACAAATGTCAAATAAATATATTAAATGTATGAGAAAATGTTCAACATCACTGGTCATTTGAGAGATGCAAATTAAAGCAATGCTCAGATTCTATTTCACTCCAGAAGGTACGGCTATAACCAAGAAATCAACTAATAACAAATGATGGTGGGGCAATGCAGAAAAAGAAACACTTTGCCACTGTTGTTAGGAGTATAGGCCTGTGTGACCATTGTGGAAACCAGTGCGGAGATTCATCAAAACAGTAGGAGTAGGGCTGGCCAAATAGCTCAGTGGACTAACGTGCCTGCTTAGGCAGATGCAGGGACCTGGGTTCAATCCCCAGCATGCCTTGTGCTGGCCCCGCCCAGAGCTGTGCTGAGACAGTGATTAAGACTGGGCGTGGTGGCACATGCCTGTAATCCCAGCACTTAGGACAATGAAAACAGGAGGATCACTATGAATCTGATCTGTGTAGTGAGACCATGTAGGTCCTGTACTAAATAAAAACTAGGATTATAGGTCTCATTTGAACCAGCTATTAACCATATGCATTATAACACAGCAATATAAGTGTGCCCAGGTTTATAGCAACATAGTCTTGTAAGAGCTAAAGCATGGATATAACCCAAATGCCCATCAACTGATGACTAAATAAAAAAGATGTAGTTCTTAAATATGACTTTAATATGAGTATTAATCAGCAATAATAAATGATAAACTTGAGACATTTATAGCTAAATGAATGGACTTGGATACCACGTTCATAAGTGAAATAAATGACCCACAGATCTGAGAGATAGTATTGTATTATCTCTCTGCTGTGAGAAAATGAAAGTATAAATAAGAGCCAAAAATCACAACAGATATTGTGAAATAGGAAACAATTATTCAAAAGGAGAAAAGGACTAGGGAGGGGAAGGAGGAAGGAGAGGGAAAAGAAAAAAATCATTTAAAAAAACCTTTGAAAATGAGGAAAGGATGAGGAGTTGAGGGAAAGGAAGAGAAATGGAGAAGAAATTAAGATATGTCATGCACAGGTACAAATTCTCTGTAATGAATGTGCTTATTATGTATATCTATTTGTATGAATAAAATTACTTAAATTCTAAACGTCAAAAAGGAAATGTTTCTTTTAGCAACTTATTAAGTAGTTGATCCCTAGCTTCTCTGATTGTATTTATTTATTTATTTTGCAGAACCGGGGATTGAACTCAGGCCCTTGCACTTGCCAGGGAAGTGCTTATTCTACTGAGCCATCTCCCCGGCCCCATCTGATTGTATTTAGACAACATATTGAAATGTCAACTGAGTTTCATAGACAAAAACTTAACTGAACACTAAAGAAAAGTAATGAATGATAATTTAAAATGTTAACAAAGTATTAGTTTTTATTGACGAATGTCTAAGAATTACATAATAATGATTAAAGCAAATTAATAAAGAACTATTATCTTACAAATACAAGATATGAAATAGTTACCTGTGACAGATAAAAACATTTCTAATATTACTTACTAGACAAAAATTAAGAAATAGATATAATCAATGTGGAGGACCACCTCAGCAGCTCTCCTTGAAAGAAGAGCAATTGTCTCCATTTTGACTGAGCCTGACCCTATTTCCTCCTATTGTTATGCACAGAGCTGGCTAGGACTGCTGTTAATCCTTCAACTGGCCTTGAGCAATGTATATTGGTCTAGCTGAGGTGCTGGTGATAGTCTTTGAAGGTGGCATGCATGTTTCCCTGGTAACCTATACCTGCTGCTCTTTAATGTGAGCAGGGTTGAGACAGGATGGTAGAGCTAATGCTCCGTGACGCCAGCTGGGATGGAGCCTCGAGACAGAGGCTATGACTTCCTGGGACTTGAAAGACTACACCAAAGCTGAAGCACCAGACTTACCAAAACATTAGATACTATATAATGCAGATTACTCTCTCTGCATATCCTCTCTGCATATCGCAGAGGTAAATGTAGGCCACCCGCCTAGCTCAGCTCACCGTGATCACCTATTTCCCACAATTTTCAGTCAATCCTCCTCAAGCCACTCCCCCACTGAATAAAAACAGGGTGAGGCCCTGGGTCGGGTCGCTCTCTTGGTTCCGGAAAGCCATCTTCTAAGGCTGGACTTAGAGCCCCTTGACTCCCCGATGATTGAAAATATAATTTAGTGTCTTTATTTTCGCAGTGGGTTGCATTGTAAGTGGTAGATTGTAATCAACTTGATGGGATTCCAATAACATAACTTTGGGATTATAAATATTGGTTTCTTGGACC